ATAATATTTATGTGTTATTTGTTGTTTTATATCGGGTTTACAATTTTACGGTAATATGTTTTTGTTAAACCTTCTTTTTGGTTATGAACTGTTTCTTTTAATATGTCTGTTTTCATCGTATTTTTAAATGCAATTATCTGCAACCTACATAGACATGCATTTACTTATGCATCAAAAATGAAAACACCGAGAGAAAGAAACATTTGGAAGTAATGATTACGTCACTAATAATAAAAAAAAATGGATACTGAGTGACAATGACATATTTGGGAAGAATTTTAAGAACTTTAATTCGCTGACCCTGGTCTATCTGACCACCTCCAGGCCTGGTGAGTAATACCTACCCTCTTCCCCGACAGGAGTGTAGCCAAACCTTAATTGCGGCCTTAGACAGTTCTTTGGGAGCATCGCTATCTTATCAACATTTACTTTTTCCTACCTACATTTATATACGTTACAAATATTATGAATAGAGGAAAATTATTTGCGGATTTTTATGTAATTCTGTTTTTTTTTGGGTTTTTTTTTTCCAAATCCAGGAATTTGTTTTGTTCATGTTCTTATTTGTTTAATGGTCTCAACGCGAACTGGAGGCTTTGATATTGATCAAATGAATCCCAGAAGAGGACAGACCAGGTTCGGTGCGTACTACTTTCGAAATCCCCAACCAGCCGGGGATCTAATCATGGTTCTGGACAGTGCTTTGTGACCCCTACTATTTTGTCAACGTTTGTTTTTGCTACCTATATGCATATACGTTACAAATTAAATAAACAAACTATTAAAAAATTTTCGCGGATTTTGACGTCATTCTAGAGATGGAGGATCATTCTTTTTTTTTTTTTTGTCCAAATCTGTGAATTTATTTTGCTCACGCTAGAAAAAGTCTAGAAAAAAACACTATATAAAAAGTGCGAGAAAAAACACTATATAAAATTCGCTTTTTTTTTATTCATAAGGTTAAATGTGTTAAAATTATTCAATTTTTTAACAAGAAAAATCTCAAGTTGATGTTAAAAATTACCGCTATTGATTTATTTAAGATGGAATGATCTATTATGACAATGTCTTTAATTTGTATTTAGATACATTGTATTTATTTTCAATTTTTCTAGTTGATTTGTTCACCTATTTTGCATTTGATCCACTATTGTACATAATTAAGTTACAACAAAATTTGTATTTTATATGAATACTCCCTTATGAAAATTTAGGATAAATATGAGAAATTATATAAAAAACTTAATCAAGTCACCTTGCCTGTCATATTTAA